ACCCGCGAGGCAGAAGGACCCCCACAGCTCCCAGCCCGCGCGCCACGCGACGCGGCTTCGCCTCGCACGCGCGGCCCGTGTGTGTGTGTGTCTGTGTGTGTGTCTGTGTGTGTCTGTGTGTCTGTGTGTGTGTCTGTGTGTGTGTCTGTGTGTGTGTGTGTCTGTCTGTGTGTGTCAGTGTGTGTGTGTGTGTCTGTGTGTCTGTCTGTCTGTGTGTGTATCTGTGTGTGTGTCTGTGTGTCTGTGTGTGTGTCTGTGTGTGTGTGTGTGTCTGTGTCTGTGTGTGTGTCTGTGTCTGTGTGTCTGTGTCTGTGTGTGTCTGTGTGTGTGTGTCTGTGTGTGTGTCTGTGTGTGTGTCTGTGTCTGTGTGTCTGTGTGTGTGTGTCTGTGTGTCTGTGTGTGTGTCTGTGTGTGTGTGTCTGTGTGTGTGTGTCTGTGTGTGTGTGTCTGTGTGTCTGTGTGTGTGTCTGTGTGTGTGTGTCTGTGTGTGTGTGTGTGTGTCTGTGTGTGTGTGTCTGTGTGTGTGTGTCTGTGTGTGTGTGTGTCTGTGTGTGTGTGTGTGTCTGTGTGTGTGTGTGTGTCTGTGTGTGTGTGTCTGTGTGTCCGGCAAAACAACCCCCTACCTCCTCGCGGTGCCGGACGGGCAACTCTGTCGTGGACAGTGCTGTGGGGGGAGTTCCAATTTTTGATTGGCTCCTCCCCTCATGGCATATGTGTCCACCACAGGGGCTAAACGGGGACTCTGGACGGGTGCGAGGGGCTGGTAACCCCTCCACCTTCAATTAATTACCACAAAACCACGAATTAAAGTGAAAACAACTAAGCTTGTGCCGGAGGCCCCGGGGGGCCAGGCGTCTATGACGTCTCCTGGCCAAACCCCAATTGGCGGAGCCAGGAGATTGAATACCTACCCTCGGGGCTACTCCAGAAACAACGAAAAGCCACTACGGGTGGCCACGTGGAATGTTCGAACGCTCACTGCAGAGGAGAGGCTGCCACTCCTCTGTCGGGAGCTGGACCGGTACCGCCTGGATCTATGCGGCATTCAGGAGGTCCGGTGGACCGGCTCTGGCTCCTGCCACCATGAGGGGTGGACAGTCCTCTACTCGGGGCAGCAGACTGCCAAACAACAGGGTGTGGGTCTTCTTTTGAACAAAAGAATGAAGGGGGCGTGGGAGCGTGGCGGTGAGGTGTGGGAAGCTGTAAGCCCCAGGCTACTTTGGGCTCGCCTTCCCATCAACCGGAGGCGAGGAATGGTGGTCGTGGTTACTTATGCCCCCACCGAAGATGAACATCCGTGGAGGGATGCAGGCAAAGCCGATGAGTCAGATGCCTTCTATGACCTCCTGTCACAGGTGCTGGCTAAAGTGGCCCCTCGGGATAGAGTCATCATGTTGGGTGACTTCAATGCCCGAGTTGGTCATGATACTGGCACCTGGTCTGGAGTGATTGGAGGGCATGGGCCAGATCAGCTCAATAACAACGGTAGGAGGCTGCTAGATTTTTGTGCAGCCCATGGGCTTGTAATTACCAACACGCTGTTCCGGCATCGGCGCATCCACACAACATCATGGATGCATGCCGGGTCCAAGCAAGAACATCTGCTGGACTACATAGTGACGGACCAGCGAATGCGAGCCCATGTCCTTGACACCAGGACCTACCGTGGAGCTGATCTGCCCTCTGACCATCGACTAGTCATCTGTAAGATGCGCCTGCCATTCTTCCACTCCGGTGGTGGGTGTACACCCAGGACCCCATTCCAACCTAAAGTGGCCTGGTCTCAGTTATCTGATGAAAGTTGCAAGCGAGAATTTCATCATCGCTTGCAGCTGGGATTGGCATCGTCCCCGACTCCTCCTGATGTCGAGGGTAAATGGGCGAGGTTTAGGACTGTGACTCATGCAGCTGCAATGGCTGCTTTGGGTACGCGGTCCAGACCTCCCCAGACACCCTGGATGACAGAGGAGTTGTTCAGGATGGTTGAGAAAAAGCGACAGGCCCACTGTCATCGGCTACAGAATCCCACGTCAGAGAATGAGGAGGCTTACCGCAGCCTTCGCTCGGAGGTTCGGAGAGCCGTGAGGCGCTGCAAGGATGGGTGGTGGTCGCGGGTTGCTGAGGAGATGGAGTCTGCCTCAGTGGCCCGTGATCACAAATCGCTATTTAACTCCATCAAAAAAGTAACCTGCAGCGCCACACCTATTACCATCATTAGGGGAAAAAAACGGTGATCCAATTTCCGACCCCCAGGAACAGGTTCGCAGATTTGCTGAGCATTTCTGTGAGGTCCTGGGGGAGGGAAAATCCCACAGCCAGGAAAACATCGTGGCACAAAGTGAGGATGACCCTGCTGAGGCTGCGGTGCCTCAAATATTGGATGAAGTCACCCCCTGTGAGTGGCTGGCTGAGGTGCCATCTGCTGAGGAAGTATTGAAGGCGATCCGGAGTCTGAGACCAGGAAAGGCAGCGGGCAGAGATGATCTCCCAAGCGAAATGCTGAGGGAGGGTGGCGTTTGTGCACAGACTGCCCTATATGACATCATAACAACAGTCTGGACCACTGGACGGGTTCCGCAGGATTGGAAGGATGCCCTGGTGGTCCCCCTTTTTAAGAAGGGGGACCGCACAGACTGTAACAACTACAGGGGCATCTCACTCCTCAGTGTGCCGGGAAAGGTCCTGGCAAGGATTATTCAGCATCGCCTTGCCAGGCACGCTGAGGAGAGGCTTGCGGAGCCCCAATGCGGTTTCAGGAAAGGGCGGTCCTGCACAGATGCCATATTTTCTGTCCGTCTGCTACAGCAGAGGTGTAGGGAATTCCAACAAGACCTACATCTCTGCTTTATTGACCTGGTCAAGGCCTATGATACCATCAGTAGGCCTGGGCTCTGGGTCGTTCTTCGTGCTTTTGGAGTACCTGACCCTCTGCTCACGATCATTAAGGACCTTCATGATGGTGAGCGGGCCCGGGTAAAACTACGTGGCCGGGAGTCAGAGCCATTCCCTGTACACCTTGGGGTGCGACAGGGATGTCCTCTGGCTCCCACATTATTTAACATCTATTTTGACCACGTAGTTCGTGAAGCCTTCAATAGCTGTACCGGGGGAATCTCCATATGGTACAGATATAACGGGAGGCTAATCGATGCCCGGGTGCGGTCAAGGGATGGCTCCCTATTGCTCAACCACGTTATGTATGCTGATGACTTGGTAATAGCTGCTCAGTCAGAGGAGGAGTTGGAGACGCTGCTGCTGAGACTGGAGCGTGCCACTAAGAGGTGGGGCCTTACCATCAGCCCCACCAAAACTAAGCACCTGCCTGGGTATTTTGTACCATCGGACACTCCACCCCCACAACTCCCAATCGGTGATGGGGCAGTTGTGGAGAGAGTGGAGAGTTTCCCATACCTGGGCAGTGTGCTTATGACTGGCTCCAGTTTAACAGCAGAGGTCTCACTCCGAATCAGTCGAGCGGCAATATCTTTTCATCGGTTGCGTAACGCTGTGTGGAAGCTACCTGGTCTGTCGCTCCGCACTAAGCTTCAGGTCTTCTCGGCCACGGTCATTCCCTCCCTTCTCTACGCTTGCGAAACGTGGACCCCCCTAATGGAACATCTTCGCCGGTTAGAAACATTTAGGCTGGCCTGCCTACGATCCATCCTGGGTTTAACCAGACTGGATTGTGTGAGGAGCTCACAAATCCTTGAAAGATCTGGGCAGGGTCCCATCGGTGAGCTCCTCCGGCAGGCAAGGCTGCGATGGCTGGGTCATGTAGCCCGCATGCCCAGCCACCGCATGCCGAAACAGCTTTTGTTTGGCCGGATTGAGGGGGCTAAGCGGGCGCGGCACGGGCTAGAGAAGAGATGGAGTGATGTGGTACAGGAGGACGTGGAGCTGAGTGGACTTGCCGATGACTGGTACCAGCGGTGTCAAGATCGGCCTCTGTGGAGGAGGCTCGTGAAGGATGCTACTGGGCAGTTGGAGGCAGTCGCCCTCCAACAACAACGGAGGGCGGAGGAGCGACGCTCACAACAGCGAGCGGAGCGCCGGGTGGCTAAAGCACAGCAGGTTGGCACAGTAGGGGGCACAGGTGGTGCATCAGCCAGTCATCTCAGTCAGTCGACCCGTGGCACCTGGGTCTGCCCCGTGACCTCCGGCCAGCGGGCGTTCGACACTTCACGTGGCCTCAGGGTGCACATAGCCTGGCACAAGCGTCGTGGTGACGTCACCGCCACTTAGTGGCGAATGGCGGTTGTTGTTGTTGTTGTGTGTCTGTGTGTGTGTCTGTGTGTGTGTCTGTGTGTGTGTCTGTCTGTGTGTGTCTGTGTGTGTGTCTGTCTGTGTGTGTCAGTGTGTGTGTGTGTCTGTGTGTCTGTCTGTCTGTGTGTGTATCTGTGTGTGTGTCTGTGTGTCTGTGTGTGTGTCTGTGTGTGTGTGTGTGTCTGTGTGTCTGTGTGTGTGTCTGTGTGTGTGTGTCTGTGTCTGTGTGTCTGTGTCTGTGTGTGTCTGTGTGTGTGTGTCTGTCTGTGTGTGTGTGTCTGTGTGTGTCTGTGTGTGTGTGTGTCTGTGTGTGTCTGTCTGTGTGTCTGTCTGTGTGTCTGTGTGTGTGTCTGTCTGTGTGTCTGTGTGTGTGTCTGTGTGTGTGTCTGTGTGTGCGTCTGCGTGTGTGTCGTTCGTACCAACACCGGTGGCGATTATCTGAACCTGTTCTGGGCCTCCCCTAGGTCGACTCAGCCTCAAATGAGTACCTGGTGCGGTGTGTAAACATCGCCACTGAAGAGACAAAGGCGGTCGGGCGTGGTGCTGGCCACCCACCCCCTCGTGTACCGATCCGGCCTTCGTAGGTGCTACTCGCTAACAGCACTTGCCCCGACAGTCTGTTAAGGCTACACGGGGGATCTTTGTCTGTGTGCGTGTGTCCACACAAAGTTGATATGAACACGCGAGCTCGCGAATCGATTCGCGTGGTGGTTTCTGTTTTGTTTTGATCTCTGAAGAGGACAGGGGGCGCGTGATGACCGACTGAAGAAGAGGTGACGTGACGAGGTGGACGATTATGTCGCGCGATGGGATGAAGGCGGTGACGAGGATGACGACGACGATGGAGACGACGCGATTCGTCCAACTCCTCCCGCCGCTCCTCCTCCTCCTCCTCTCTCTCGTCCGCCTTTGTCTCTCCATGGTGGCCACCGCGGGAGGAGCCGATGGGGGAGCGGAGTCGGCACTGCCGAGGGTGCGGATGTCCTACAAGGGTGAGGGGTCACGCGGTGATGGTGTTGGTGATGGTGGTGATGGTGGTGATGGTGTACACAGTGTGATGATGGTGATGATGTTGTAGAGTGATGTGTGGTGATGGTGCACACAGTGTGATGGTGATGATGGTGATGATGTTATATAGTGATGTGTGGTGATGGTGCACACAGTGTGATGATGGTGATGGTGATGATGTTTTAGAGTGATGTGTGGTGATGGTGTACACAGTGTGATGATGGTGATGATGATGATGTAGAGTGATGTGTGGTGATGGTGATGATGTTGTAGAGTGATGTGTGGTGATGGTGCACACAGTGTGATGATGGTGATGATGTTGTAGAGTGATGTATGTGATGGTGTACACAGTCTGATGATGGTGATGATGTTGTAGAGTGATGTGTGGTGATGGTGTACACAGTGTGATGGTCATGATGATGTTATAGAGTGATGTGTGGTGATGGTGCACACAGTGTGGTGATGGTGATGATGATGTTGTATAGTGATGTGTGGCGATGGTACACACAGTGTGATGATGGTGATGATGGTGATGTTGTAGAGTGATGTGTGGTGATGGTGATGGTGATGATGATGTTGTAGAGTGATGTGTGGTGATGGTGTACACAGGGTGATGATGGTGATGATGATGTAGAGTGATGTATGGTGATGGTGATGATGGTGATGATGATGTAGAGTGATGTGTGGTGATGGTGTACACAGTGTGATGATGATGATGATCTTGTATAGTGATGTGTGGTGATGGTGCACACAGAGTGATGATGGTGATGATGATGATGTAGAGTGATGTGTGGTGATGGTGTACACAGTGTGATGATGGTGATGTTGATGATGTAGAGTGATGTGTGGTGATGGTGATGATGATGTATAGTGATGTGTGGTGATGGTGTACACAGAGTGATGATGGTGATGATGATGATGATGGTGTATAGTGATGTGTGGTGATGGTGTACACAGTGTGATGATGGTGATGATGTTGTATAGTGATGTGTGGTGATGGTGATGATGGTGATGATGATGTTGTAGAGTGATGTGTGGTGATGATGCACACAGTGTGATGATGGTAATGATGTTGTAGAGTGATGTGTGGTGATGGTGTACACAGAGTGATGATGGTGATGATGATGATGGTGTATAGTGATGTGTGGTGATGGTGTACACAGTGTGATGATGGTGATGATGTTGTATAGTGATGTGTGGTGATGGTGATGATGGTGATGATGATGTTGTAGAGTGATGTGTGGTGATGATGCACACAGTGTGATGATGGTAATGATGTTGTAGAGTGATGTGTGGTGATGGTGATGATGGTGATGATGATGATGTAGAGTGATGTGTGGTGATGGTGATGATGGTGATGATGATGTAGAGTGATGTGTGGTGATGATGCGCACAGTGTGATGATGGTGATGATGATGTTGTAGAGTGATGTGTGGTGATGGTGATGATGATGCAACGGTAGCGCAGTAGTTGGCACTGCACTGTGCCTGGGCCTCCCCTAGATCGACTCAGCCTTAAGTGGCTACCTGGTGCGTTGTGTGGTAAACGTCGCCACTCGGGAGACAAAGGTGGCCGGGCGTGGCGCTGACCACCCCCCCCCCCAAAGTTGTTCCTCGCTCACGGCACTTGCCCCCAACGGGCCGTCATGCTAACCGGGGGATCTTTGTCTCTATCTCTATCCGCTCGTTGGGGCAAGTCCACCTGGATGAGTGGTCAGACGGCACGGGCGATGACCACCAACAACAGCAGCAGCAACGCGTGGAGGGTGGAGAGAATGCTCCTGGCGATGCCACAATGGGAATCTTGTACTTACACCGCAGGAAGAATCCGATGAGCTATAAAGCTCTTTAACAACAGACGTGGCCAGTGCGGGGCACGCGGTCAGAACGTTACAATAAGACACAAAATATCAACAAAACTCGACAGGAAGTTTAAAGTGCAGGAACGGTAAACACAACAATTTAAAATTATATTTGTCTACATACACGAATGACACCTAATTATTGTATTACTTTATCATCAACGTCGCGTGGTAAACGTACAGCTCAGCAAAATCACCGCGACAATGTGGACGTCACGGGGAGGATTCAACCATCTCGCTCCCCCCGTTAGCAAACTCCCTCGCCCGGAGACCCAAATCCCAAGGGACCATCAACCCGACTGCGCCTGCAAGTCACAATCCAGCAGAGTCGCCACTGAGTGGGGGGGGGAGGGGGGCGCTGAATCTGCTGGTAGGGGGCAGCGCTCCGCATCCTCCACACACACAGATGTCCCCAACCTCCACTGCCTCCAACCGCCGGTACAGACGCTACCCCCCCACCACCACCGCCCCCCCACCGCCCCCCACCGCCCCCCCACCGCCCCCCACCGCCCCCCCACCGCGCCCCCACCGCCCCCCGACCACCCCCCACCGCCCCCCCCCACCGCCCCCCCACCGCGCCCCCACCGCCGCCCGACCACCACCCACCACCCCCCCCACCGCCCCCCCACCGCCCCCCCACCCCCCCACCACCCCCCCACCGCCCCCCCCACCGCCCCCCACCGCCCCCCCACCCCCCCACCACCCCCCTACCGCGCCCCCACCGCGCCCCCACCGCCCACCGCCCCCCCCCACCGCCCCCCGTGTAATCCGGGCGAGTGGTGCCACTTAGCGAGATGATTGCGCGCGAGCCGAGAGGAGGGAGGGAGACGCAGGGACGGGGGCGGGGGGTGGGGGCGGGGGCGGCTCAACCCGGGGCCTCGCGCCCTCGCTCTAAGGAAGGGGGCGCACGAAGCGAAACAGCACAGACAGAGAGAGAGCACAGTACACACAGTACACACACAGTACACGCACACAGTACACACACAGTAGACACAGTAGACACACAGTACACACACAGTACACACAGTACACACACAGTACACACAGTACACACACAGTACACACAGAGAGAACACAGTACACACACAGTACACACACAGTACACACACACAGTACACACAGTACACACACAGTACACACACAGTACACACAGAGAGAGAGAGAGAACACACAGTACACACACAGTACACACACACAGTACACACACAGTACACACACACAGTACACACAGAGAGAGAGAACACACAGTACACACACAGTACACACACAGTACACACAGTGCACACACAGAGAGAGCACACAGTACACACACAGTACACACACACAGTACACACACAGTACACACACACAGTACACACACAGTACACACACACAGTACACACAGCACACACAGTACACACACAGTACACACAGCACACACACACAGTACACACACACAGTACACACAGAGAGAACGCACAGTACACACACACACAGAGAACACACAGACACACGCACAGACACGCACACAGAGAACACACAGCACACGCACACAGAGAGAACACATAGTACACACACAGCACGCACACAGCACGCACACAGCACACGCACACAACACACACACAGAGAACACACAATACACACAGTACACACAGAGAACACACAGTACACACAGAGAGAACACACAGTACACACACAGAGAGAACACACCGTACACACAGTACACACAGAGAACACACAGTACACACAGAGAGAACACACAGTACACACACAGCACACACACACATAGAACACACAGTACACACACACACACAGAGAACACACAGTGCACACACACAGAGAACACACAGTACACACACAGAGAGAACACATAGTACACACACACAGAGAGAGAACACACAGTACACACACACAGCACACACAGAGAACACACAGTACACACACAGAGATAACACACAGTACACACACAGAGAGAACACACAGTACACACAGTACACACACAGAGAGAACACACAGTACACACACAGAGAACACACAGTACACACACAGCACACACACACACAGAGAACACACAATACACACACACACACAGAGAACACACAGTACACACACAGAGAACACACAGTACACACACACAGAGAGAGAACACACAGTACACACACACAGCACACACAGTACACACACAGAGAGAACACACAGTACACACAGTACACACACAGAGAGAACACACAGTACACACAGTACACACACAGAGAGAACACACAGTACACACACAGAGGTGAACACACAGTACACACAGTACACACACAGAGAGAACACACAGTACACACACAGAGAGAACACACAGTACACACACAGCACACGCAGTACACACACAGAGAGAACACACAGTACACACAGTACACACACAGAGAGAACACACAGTACACACAGTACACACACAGAGAGAACACACAGTACACACACAGAGAGAACACACAGTACACACAGTACACACACAGAGAGAACACACAGTACACACACAGAGAGAACACACAGTACACACACAGAGAGAACACACAGTGCACACAGTACACACACAGAGAGTACACACAGTACACACACATTACACACAGCACACACAGAGAGAACACACAGTACACACACACAGAGAGCACACAGTACACACAGAGTACACACACACAAGAACACACAGTACACACACAGAGAGAACACACAGTACACAGACACATGCACAGACACGCGCACACACTCTCAGACACACACACAAACACACACAAACACACCCACACACACAAGCACACACAGTACACACACACAGAACACACAGTACACACACAGAGAGAACACACAGTACACACAAACACACAGAGAACACACAGTACACACACACAGAGAAAACACACAGTACACACACACAGAGAACACACAGCACACACACACAGAGAACACAAAGTACACACACACAGCACACACAGTACACACACAGAGATAACACACAGACACACACAGACACACGCACAGACACACACACATGCACACACAAACACCCACACACACATAAACACACCCACACACACAAGCACACACACACACAAATACACACAAATACACACACGCACACACACACGTGCACACGCACGGGGCTGGGGCTGACGCGTCGCTCTGGGGACGATGCAACTCGTTTAGCATCGATCCTGGGGGCCCTGGGGATGGCGTCGCGACTCACGGTGCCCTCAAGGCTGCGACCAATTAGGACGATGATGATGACAACGACGATGACGATGGTGACGATGATGATGACGATGACGATGATGATGACGACGACGATGGTGACGACGACGATGATGATGACGACGATGATGACGACGATGATGGTGACGACGACGATGATGATGACGACGATGATGATGACGATGATGATGGAGGGTGAGTTTGAATAATTTGTTGATGATTATGGCCACAGGATGAGGATGATGATGATGATTATCTTAGTATGGTGATGTTAGTGATGATGATGATGTGGTTATGAAGTCAATGTTTGATGAGCGTCGAATTCTGATTAAGGTGATTTTCATATGGTAACCATGATCGTGATGATGACGAGCACGTGATGATGACGATGTTAATTAATAATCTTATTGCGGTTATGACGATGCGAGTGATGATGATGATTGTGATCATCACAGGAGGAGTGCTGATGCTGATAATAATTTCGACGATGATCGCTGGATGGTTATGATGATTCCAGTGATGATGATTAGCTGAACTCTGCTCGCCACCAAATGTGGCAAAAAATGTGGCACCTCGCCTGGTGTACAGGAGGCCGTGGGTTCGATCCCGACCCTGACGCCTGCTGCTGTATATTTGGAGTTTGCGTGTCTCTCTCTCATCATCATCACGGTGGCTATGAGATGTTAACTACCTCGCCTGGTACACAGGAGGTCGTGGGTTCGATCCCGACCCTGACGCCTGCTGCTGTATATTTGGTAGTTACGTGTCTCTCTCATCATCATCACGGTAGCTAGGAGATGTTAACTACCTCGCCTGGTACACAGGAGGTCGTGGGTTCGATCCCGACCCTGACGCCTGCTGCTGTATATTTGGAGTTTGCGTGTGTCTCTCTCTCTCTCATCATCATCATCATCACGGTAGCTAGGAGATGTTAACCACCTCGCCTGGTACACAGGAGGTCGTGGGTTCGATCCCGACCCTGACGCCTGCTGCTGCTGTATATTTAGTGTTTGCGTGTCTCTCTTCCCGTGGTCGTGGGGATTTTTGTCCGGGTCCGTCCGGGTGTTTCCTCCCCCCATTCAGAATCGACATCACCAGAGTGTTGGCTGCCGCTGTACATGTCCACGTGATCATGATGAGCCACTTTCGTTGAGCTATCACTGGCGATGGCCAGGTCGCTTCTGAAAACGAGCCACGCATCTCAGTGCGGCCTTAAGTGGTACAAATGAAAAGCAAATATATACGTAGTTTAGTTTATAGACTATTTAAAAAAACAAACCGCGGAACATTCTTTTGAGACGCAGCACGGGACGCTCTCGAGATGCGAGTGGCAGGCACTCGCGCGAGCCACATTCGAGTGCCGGGCCAAGTTTGAACCATGGGGAGGACGAGAGAGCGACAACAGCTGATGTCGCCTTTACTCCAGCTGGGTCCGGACACCCCAGGGGGCTGTGTCAAAACCAAGGCTGGGTGGGTGGTGGTGGCTGGGTGGGTGGGTGGTGGCTGGGTGGTGGCTGGGTGGGTGGTGGCTGGGTGGGTGGGTGGTGGCTGGCTGGGTGGGTGGTGGCTGGGCGGGTGGGTGGGGGGTGGTGGCAGGGTGGGTGGGTGGTGGCTGGGTGGGTTGGTGGTGGCTGTGTAGGTGGTGGTGGCGACTGGCTGGGTGGGTGTCTCAGGGTGAGAGGGGGTTCGTGATGGACTTGCCGGAGAACAGCGGAGACCGCGTGGCCTGCAGGCCTGGGGTAGAGTCCGGGGAGTCAGGCGCCCAAGCACGCTGATGGTCACCCACAGACGTGCAAAGACTTGCATAGACACCCATAGACTCACATAGAGACACATAGACTTGCATAGACACCCATAGACTCACATATAGACACCCATAGACTCACATAGAGACACATAGACTTGCATGGAGACCCATAGACTCACATAGACATATAGACTTGCATAGACACCAATAGACTCACATATAGACACATAGACTTGCATAGACACCCATAGACTCACATAGAGACACATAGACTTGCATGGAGACCCATAGACTCACATAGACACATAAACTTGCATAGACACCCATAGACTCACATAGAGACACATAGACTTGCATGGAGACCCATAGACTAACATATAAACACATAGACTTGCATAGACACCCATAGACTCACATAGAGACACATAGACTTGCATAGACACCCATAGACTCACATAGAGACACATAGACTTGCATGGAGACCCATAGACTCACATATAGACACATAGACTTGCATGGAGACCCATAGGCTCACATAGAGACACATAGACTTGCATGGAGACCCATAGACTCACATATAGACACATAGACTTGCATGGAGAACCATAGACTCACATATAGATACATAGACTTGCATGGAGACCCATAGACTTGCACAGAGACCCATAGACTCACATATAGACACATAGACTTGCATGGAGAACCATAGACTCCTCCATTCCCCTCCACCCCCCCTCTCTCCCCCCGACATTCTGCCCTCTCTGTCCTTCACACATCTCCATTTCCTCTCTCATCTCTCTCGTCTCCTTACAATCTCTCTCCCTTCTCCCTTCTCTCTCTCTGTGTATCCCTCCCCCTCATCCTTTCAACTCTCTCCTCCATCCCTCTTCTGCTCCTCCCTATTCTCCCTTCCCCCCCCCTCTCTCTGTCGCCACCTCTTCTATCTCTGTGTGTGTGTCAAGCGTAAAGCTACCCCCTATCGATCACGGTTCCAAGATCAAATATGTAGCAGCAGCAGTAGCAGCAGTAACATCAGCAGCAGTAACATCAGCAGCAGTAGCATCAGCAGTAGCAGCAGTAACATCAGCAGCAGTAGCAGCAGTAGCAGCAGCAGCAGTAGCAGCAACAGTAGCAGCAGCAGTATCAGCATCAGCAGCAGTAGCAGCATCAGCAGCAGTAGTAGCAGCAGTAGTAGTAGTAGCAGCAGTAGTAGCAGTAGTAGCAGCAGCAGTAGCAGTAGTAGCAGCAGCAGTAGCAGTAGTAGCAGCAGCAGTAGCAGTAGTAGCAGCAGCAGTAGTAGCAGTATCATCAGCAGCAGTAGCAGCAGCAGCAGTAGTAGTAGCAGTAGTAGCAGCAGTAGCAGTAGCAGCAGTAGCAGCAGCAGTAGCAGCAGTAGTAGCAGCAGTAGCAGCAGCAGCAGTAGCATCAGCAGTAGCATCAGTATCAGCAGCAGTAGCAGCAGCGGTAGCCGCCGTATCTGCACCCCCACGACTGCCCGCTCGCCCCGTTACACACAGACAGACGGACTGTGGAAGTTGATATCGCAGAATTGCTTCCGAGAGATTCATCCGCGTGGTGACCTCTTCTCTGCACTCGGAGGGGGGGGGGTCACCATGCCGCAGCTGTCACGAAGAGGTCACGGACAGCCACATCGTCACCATCGGCCGACGAAATAACTTCATTCTCGTGTTGCCCTCTGTGGCTAGGAGATGTCGACTACCTCGCCTCGTCTGCAGGAGGTCGTGGATTCGATCCCGACCCTGATGCCTGCTGTGTATTTGGAGTTTGCGTGTCTCTATCTCTCTCTCTCTCTCCCCGTGGTCCCATGGATTTTTCTCCGGGTCCTCCGGTCGTTCTCTCCACATTTATAATCAACATCAGGCGCTGAGAGTATTTGGCTGCTATTAAGAATTTCACTTCGTTGAGCTATCATTTGTGATAGCGAGGTCGCTTCTGACAAAGAGCTACACAGCCCAGTGGGCCTTGCCTGCTGAAATAAAACGAGATTGCTCAATACTTCAGTATGTATGTTGAACTTCTTACGACCCTGGGGCCAACCGTGCCAACCCTCTCTCAGACCTGCTGGAGTCGAACCGCTCGAGCACATTCTACGGGTCTCGGGGTGGAGGCGCTGCCGTGCACAGCATGCTGCTCGACGAGTACCACGAGCGACTTTTCATCGGCTCCCGTGACCTCGTCTACTCGCTGAGTCTCGACGCCGTTCACCAGGACGCCCGCGAGGTGACCACCTCTTCTGCCCGCGATTAATCAGCATCGTCATCGTCTTCGTCATGGTCTTCATCGTCATCATCATCGTCATCGTCTTCATCGTCATCATCGTCTTCATCGTCATCATCGTCTTCATCATCATCGTCTTCATCATCATCATCATCGTCATCATCGTCTTCATCGTCTTCATCATCATCATCATCGTCATCATCGTCGTCGTCATCATCATTGTCTTCATCGTCTTCATCATCATCATCATCGTCTTTATCATCATCGTCTTCATCGTCATCATCATCGTCGTCGTCATCATCATCATCGTCTTCATCATCATCGTCATCGTCTTCATCGTCGTCGTCATCATCATCGTTGTCTTCATCATCATCATCGTCGTCTTCATCATCATCGTCTTCATCATCATCATCGTCATCGTCTTCATTGTCATCGTCATCATCATCGTCGTCTTCATCATCATCGTCTTCATCATCATCATCGTCATCGTCTTCATTGTCATCGTCGTCGTCATCATCATCGTCGTCATTTGGTGTTTCCACTTCCCTCTGGCTGTCTTGGAGTGCCGCAATTGGCTCACGTGGTGAAGACATCTTTCTGGCACTGATCCCTCTCTCGTGCGTGTTGGTTCGCCATCGCCCCGGGGATTGCCACGACTTCCACCCGTTCCCCGCTCTCTGTCTCTCTCTCTTTCTCCGTGTCTCTCTGTCTCTCTCTCTGTCTCTCTCACTGTCTCTCTTACTGTCTCTCTCTCTGTCTCTCTCTGTCTCTCTCTCTTTCTCCGCGTCTCTCCGTCTCTCTCTCTCTCTCTGTCTCTCTCACTGTCTCTCTCACTCTCTCTCTCACTCTCTCTCTCTCTATCTCTCTCACTGTCTCTCTGTCTCTCTTTCTCCGTGTCTCTCTGTCTCTCTCTCTCTGTCTCTCTCACTGTCTCTCTCTCTCTCCTCTGTCTCTTTCCGTCTCTCTCTGTCTTTCTCTCTTTCTCTGCCCACCGGTTATCCTCCGCTCTTGTGTCGCTCTGCACCGGCACGCAGAGGCCTTGGGTTGCCGCCTTCCACGTGGGGCTGTCCCACCGTCTCACCCGCCTGGACGGGGTCTCGTTTATCCTCGCCGTTCGCTCGCTCGCTCCCTCGCCGTCACCCTCCACCGAGATGTCGTCTCTTTGATTCTCCTTCCCCCCCCCTCCCCCTCGGCGTCGAGTTACGTTGCTTTCCACTTGGCGAATTTTGGCGAAACTCAACATTACAGGGTTAGGTTGTGGATTATTTTTGCGTGCAATTTTTTTTAATATATATTAACGTGTTCGTGGCAGCAAGAAAAAAATAAGTAAAACAACATTTTACTTTTTCCGGATGCTCATAACCAAGTGATTTTATTTGAGAGTGATGCTTCACCGTGCACAATTTTTCCCAGCAAAAATTAGCCTGGACCGCGGCGCCGATGTTGAACGCTCACGACCGCGCAGCGCATTTTGATTGTAGACATCGCATAGCACTGCTGAAGGCAACGGAGGAATGAGCTTGCCGTTGAAAAAATTGACGCGATGAAAATTTGGCCAGTTTTTGCAAGGACGCGCCATAGGTTAGCGTGTCCATTTTTTTTGTTGTGCACTAAAGAAAATGTTTAAATTCCCCAGGTTTTTGTTTTAATTTAACATTTCGAATAGTTAACACTGACGGCAAAGGGAGGATTTGTCCACACATCTGGCTGTACGCCTGATGAGGCCGGTTGTAATTAGCGGCGAGACGTCGTGCTCGGATTGTAAATGCCGTGGGTTTACTCTCCAACGCACCGGCTAGTGCTGTGCCAGCGCTAACGGCCTCTCCGGGTGACCCCTGCCTCCACCACGCGTCAACTAATCTCGCTAGTGCTCACCACTGCCAATTACGGGATGAGCGGGATGGGTGATGGAGGAAGGGGGAGGGGGGGGGGAATCGTCGCTGATTTGATTGTGGCCGCTTTGGCACTCTCACTCGCTCGCGCTCTACCCCCCTCTCTCCCTACTCCATGTCGCTCTCTCGCTCTCTTCCTCACGCTCTCCTTACCCCTTCCCTCTCTCTCTCTACCCCCTCTCTCTCTACCCCCTCTCTCTCTACCCCCTCTCTCTCCCTACTCCATGTCACTCTCTCGCTATCTTCCTCACGCTCTCTCTCTCTCTCGATTTTTGTTTACGATCAGAGGAAGCAAGAAGATGCTCGGTGTAGTCGGCACTTTGCTTCGTTCATCATGTGGGGTTTTTGTGTTTGTTTTTTAACGCTTTGCTTCATGTAAACACCCCTCCCCTCCCCTTTTTAAATTAAAGATTTCACAAAATATTTCACGCTCTGCTCTCCTTACCCCTTCCCTCTCTCTCTACCCCCTCTCTCTCTACCCCCTCTCTGCCCCCCCTCTCTCTCTACCCCCTCTCTCTCTACCCCCTCTCTCGCTACCCCCCTCTCTCTGTACCCCCTCTCTCTCTACCCCCTCTCTCTCTACCCCCTCTCTCTCTGACCCCCTCTCTCTCTACCCCCTCTCTCTCTACCCCATCTCTCTCTACCCCCTCTCTCTCTACCCCCTCTCTCTCTACCCCCTCTTTGCCCCCCCCCCCCTCTCCCTACTCCATGTCGCTCTCTCGCTCTCTTCCTCACGCTCTCTCTCTCTCGCTCTCCGTCGCTGCAATGCCGGTGATGCGTGTGTGGTTCTTCGAATGCTGCAGGGGCCCGTTAAGCCGTATGCAATGGCACGAACGGCATTCTGCATTTCACCTTCTAACGAGCTCGCTCGTCGAGCGTGGCGTGCGGGGCCACCACGCACCGTTTGTGACTCGTGCGGGACCACGTGCCGCTGGGCGTGGTTGGTTTGTGACGTGTGCGGGCCCACGTGCCGCTGGGCGTGGTTGATTTGTGACGTGTCCGGGCCCACGTGCCGCTGGGCGTGGTTGATTTGTGACGTGTCCGGGCCCACGTGCCGCTGGGCGTGGTTGATTTGTGACGTGTCCGGGCCCACGTGCCGCTGGGCGTGGTTGGTTTGTGACTCGTGCGGGACCACGTGCGGCTGGGCGTGGTTGGTGACTCGTGCGGGACCACGTGCCGCTGGGCGTGGTTGGTTTGTGACGTGTCCGGGCCCACGTGCCGCGGGGCGTGGTTGGTTTGTGACTCGTGCGGGCCCACGTGCCACAGGGCGTGGTTGGTTTGTGACGTGCACGCGTGAAGCTGCATTTTTCCACGTGGCTTGTATCGGAATCGGCTCTGGTGCTGTTGCTGCTGGTAGCAATAAAAGTTATTTAACAGTCAAAGTCTCTCTCTCTGCTCTCTCTCGATCTCTCTCTCGATCTCTCTCTCGCTCTCTCTATCCCTCGCTCTCTGTCTCCCTCGCTCGCTCCTTGTTGTGGTGCATCGTGCAGATACGCTGGGCCGCGCCGGCCTTCCAGAAGGAGCTGTGCCTCATGCAAGGCAAGGATGCGAAGGTGAGAGATGGTGCTGTGCCCTCCCACAACCAAAAGCAATCTCACGAGACAATCGCTAAACTAAAACCATCATCTATGTTTGTTTTGTTTACTATCAGGTAAGAATGTCCCACTAAGCCGTGTAGCTCTTCTTCAGTGAGCGACTAGGCCATCACAAATGAAAGCTTAACGAAGTGGCTTATCATCATCAACACGTGGAAATTTACAACGGCCCAACACTCTTAAACGCGTGGTGATGTCGATTCTAAAAGTGGAGGAGGAAAACCGGAGGACCCGGAGAAAAATCCACGCGACCATGGGGAGAGTGAGAGAGAGAGAGAGACACGCAAACTCTAAATATACAGCAGGAGTTCGGGTTGGGATGGAACCCACGACCTCCTGTACACCAGGCGAGGGAGTTAACATCTCCACAGGGAGACAGAGACGCCAACTCCAAATATACAGCGGGGAGCAGGTCGGGATGGAACCCACGACCTCCTGTACACCAGGCGAGGGAGTTAACATCTCCTAGCCACTGCGGCCCTCCCTCCCCTCTCGAATGGTCGGGTCGGCCGCGGCCACCGCCGTCGCATCCGAGGGAGGCAGAAGAGGCAGAGGAGCGGCGTCGAGGGTACGGGATTCCGTGGCGCTACCCAACCGCGTCGCCACCGCTCACCAAAATAAACCCTCCCCAGCCAACACACCGAGGTTATTGCCTTTATCTAAATCTTCGTCTTACTGGGCTTTGTCTCCGGTGGGTGTCGAGGCTTCTGCTGCTGTTTACATTCCGGCCGCGTCCGTCAGCCCGCAGTGGCGTCGGGGTTCTGAACTGGTTTCTTTATTTCTTCCCACCGGATGTGCTCTCTGTCTCCCTCTGTCCCTCTATATCTCTCTGTCTCCCTCTGTGTCTATCTCTCTCTCCCTCTCTCTCTCGCTCTCTCTGTGTCTCTCTCTGGCTCCCTCTGCCTCGCGTCTCTGTCTGTGTCTCTCTGTCTCTTTACTTGTCTCTCTCTGTACCTCTCTATCTGTGTCTCTCTCTCTCTCTGCCTCTCATCTTTCTCTGTCTCTCTCTCCGTCTTTATCTCCCTGTCCCTCTCTCTGTCTCTCTCTGTCCCTCTCTCTGTCCCTCTCTCTGTGTGTCTCTCTATCTCTCTCTGTCCCTCTATATCTCTCTGTCTCCCTCTGTGTCTATCTCTCTCTCCCTCTCTCTCGCTCTCTCTGTGTCTCTCTCTGGCTCCATCTGCCTCGGGTCTCTGTCTGTGTCTCTCTGTCTCTTTACTTGTCTCTCTCTGTACCTCTCTATCTGTGTCTCTCTCTCTCTCTCTGCCTCTCATCTTTCTCTGTCTCTCTCTCCGTCTTTATCTCCCTGTCCCTCTCTCTGTCTCTCTCTGTCCCTCTCTCTGTCCCTCTCTCTGTGTGTCTCTCTATCTCTCTCTGTCCCTCTGTCTCTCTGTCCCTCTGTCTCTCTTTCTCTCTGTCCATCTCTCTCTGTCTCTCTCTCTCCCTGTCCCTCTCTCTCTCTCTCTGTCTCTCTATATCTGTCTTTATATGCATGTCCCTCTCTCTGTCTCTCTCTCTGTCCCTCTCTCTGTGTGTCTCTCTATCTCTCTCTGTCCCTCTGTCTCTCTTTCTCTCTGTCCATCTCTCTCCGTCTCTCTCTCTCCCTATCCCTCTCTCTGTCTCTCTCTCTGTCTCTCTCTCTGTCTCTCTCTCTGTCTTTATCTCCCTGTCCCTCTCTCTGTCTCTCTCTCTGTCCCTCTCTCTGTCCCTCTCTCTGTGTGTCTCTCTATCTCTCTCTGTCCCTCTGTCTCTCTGTCCCTCTGTCTCTCTTTCTCTCTGTCCATCTCTCTCTGTTTCTTTCTCTGTCCCTCTCTCTCTCTGTCTCTCTCTGTCTTTATCTCCCTGTCCCTCTCTCTGTCTCTCTCTGTCCCTCTCTCTGTCCATCTCTCTCTGTCTCTCTCTCTCCCCCTGTCCCTCTCTCTCTGTCTCTCTCTGCCTCTCATCTTTCTCTGTCTCTCTCTCTCTCTGTCTCTCTCTCTGTCTTTATCTCCCTGCCCCTCTCTCTCTCTGTCCCTCTCTCTGTCCATCTCTCTCTGTCTCTCTCTCTCCCCCTGTCCCTCTCTCTCTGTCTCTCTCTGCCTCTCATCTTTCTCTGTCTCTCTCTCTCTCTGTCTCTCTCTCTCTGTCTTTATCTCCCTGCCCCTCTCTCTCTCTGTCTCTCTCTCTCGGTTGCGAGCCGAAGGAGAGGAGACATAGTCTGTCTCCGAGTGAACGTGTTTTGTTGTTGTTATGTCTCTTTGTGCGGCCAGTTTGCCACAATCACCACCGTCACCGCAGACTCCGCCATGCGGATGTCGAGGCACGCGACTGCTGTCCCCCGCGACCTCTCGAAATAGTTTTTATTTTATTTCGTTTTTCCCAAAAACTGCATGAATGAAACCGGTTAACAGCACCGATCGAGGCATCCCTAGCGGTGAACGGGGGCCGTGTTTAGCATCATCAACCGAGGCATTCATAAGGCAGATGGTTGATGTGATTCTACCTCCCGGCGTGGTAATTTGGAACAAACCGGTGCCAGTTTCCAATGTCCCTCCCACGCCATCTGTCCTTCACTTAGCTGCACCAGTGTGCTCATCGCGTTAGATCGGCGGAGGCTCGTGTGGGGTTAAAGTGTTGGTACACTGGAATCGGTTGCTGGTTCCTGGACTCCACCGTCTCTCGCTCGCTCTCTCGCTCTCTCAAAGCGGTTAAGGCGACACTGCTGGTCCCATCCGGAACGAAGTCAATAAAATTCGGGCGATGTCTCTTCTTGTTGTTCCTCGTCTGGTCTCTCTGTCTGTCTGTTGTGCTGTGTCCAGTCTCTCTGTCTCTCTCTGCCGTGTCGTGTCTAATCTCTCTCCTCCGTCTGTCTCCTCCGTCTCTCTCGCGTGTCCGTGACCGGCAGCGCTGCGCCAACTTCGTGCGGGCTCTGCACCGCTACAACCAGACGCATCTCGTGGCGTGCGGCACGGGCGCCTTCCACCCCATCTGCGTCTTCCTCAACGTGGGCCACAAGGCCGAGGTGAGAGGGCCGGTGGTGAGGCCACAGTGGGAGAGTCGGAACAAAGCCTGGGTGAGACCCTGGTGAGGGGCTCTGGGTGAGGGGCTCTGGGTGAGGAGCTCAGGGAGAGGCCCGGGTGAAGGACTCAGGGTGAGGCCATAGCGAGAATCCTGGTAGACGCCTGAGGAAGGAATGGGTGAGGCCACGGTGGGCCCTGGGTAAAGGTCGGATGCCGGAGTGCGGTGAGGCCGAGATGAGCCTCGTGTGAGGCTAGGGGGTGGTGTGGAGTCAACTTAAAACGATTTATTTCACCAGCTGCAAGGTCCCACTGAGCTCGCTCTATTGTTGCTCTTTTGCACAAGCGATCTGGCCATCACAAATTATCTCAACGAAGTGGCCTATCGAGTAAGGCGAGGGTACCCTTCCTAGCAGGGGGGCCAGGTGGTTATCAGAGGCCTGAGACGTGTCCTACAAGGCCCAGGTTGGGCCCACATTTGTAGGTGGGTGGGGGCAGCAGCAAATCGGGAAATTCACGGCAAGGATGGGGGCAGGAAACTTTGTAGGTTTGGGATAGAACGTGGCAGAGAAGCATTGCAGAGATAATCAAGTAGAGGAGGAGGTTGTGATGGGTGGTACACAGGGGCACGTTGGAGGAGGATCGGGTAAACAACTTGGGAGGTTGGGCATAGGAGGAGGAGGATGTTGTGGTGGGTGGGACGCGTGCGCAGGGTGGTGGAGGGAGAGCCACCGAGACGGGCATCAGAGTGGCACCCGGGTGTCTGAGGCGAAAGGGGAAGACCTAAATCCAGATGGCGGTGGCCGTGGCGTTGGTGATACAGCAGGGGGCACAGCTGGTGGTCCATCTGCCGCTCATCTCAGTCGGCCAACCCATAGCACCTGCTGGGTCTGTCCCGTGACCTCCTGGTCAGCGAGCCTTCGACACTTCACGCGATAGCCTCAAAGTGCACCCGGCCTGGCACAGGCACCGTGGTGACGCCGCCGTCACTTCGTGGCAAATGGTCGGGTATTTGTTATTGGTGGTGAGACTGTAGGAGCAGCGTTTGGAGGTCACGGGTCAATTTCACAGCCCTCCGGGGGGGGGGGGGCAGCGGGGGGGGGGGGGGAGACTTGACACGAGTGGATTTCGTTTTGACACTGAGCAGCTCTGATCGTTTTTCTCGCGGGCAAATTGAGGACACTTGCGTGTTTGACGTTAGCGAGTGGTGGCGGTGGTGGGGGGTCATAAAAACTTGCCGCGCTTTGTACCACGTGAGCCGCATGCGTGCGTGCCGCGATGTTTGATTTTGTATTGTGTTCTCTCTCTTTTGTTCATTCTGTTGCATTACTTTTCGTTGTTTCATCAGGAACACGTTTTCAGGCTGGACGCTCAGAAGGCCGAGAGCGGCCGAGGGAAGTGCCCCTACGACCCCGAGCAATCCTTCACCTCCACGCTCGTCGGTGCGTGGAGGAGCATACCGACACGCCCCACTCGGGGCAGCCGCTCTAGAGAGCCACTCTGGAGAGTGTCTGGCGCACTCCTCCACGCCTGTACTTTTATTAGTTTGCTTTAATACTACATCGTGACCCGGAAATGGCGTGTGCGGATATGACGTGTCACGCAAATAACGGTGATTTGTTAGACTCCCCACATCTCCCCATGTCTCCTCGTGTTTCTCCGGATCTTCCCGTGTCTCTCTACATCTCCCCACGTTTCCACATCTCCCTGTCTCTCTCCGCATTTCCTCGTGTCTCTCCACATCTCCCTGTGTTTCTCCACATCTCCCAGCATCTCCCTGTCTCTCTCCACATCTCTCCGCATCTCCCCACGTCTCCCCGTATCTCCCCGTGTCACCCCGTGTCTCTCGACATCTCCCGGCGTCTTCCTGTCTCTCTCCACATGTCCCCACGTCTCCCCGTGTCTCTCCACATCTCCCGGCGTCTCCCTGTCTCTCTCCACATCTCCCAGCGTCTCCCCGTGTCTCTCCACATCTCCCCGCATCTCCCCACGTCTCCCCATGTCTCTCCACATCTCCCGGCGTCTCCCCGTGTCACTCCACATCTCCCGGCGTCTCCCCATGTCTCTCCACATCTCCCGGCGACTCGCCGTGTCTCTCCACATCTCCCCGCATCTCCCCACGTCTCCCCGTGTCTCTCCACATCTCCCGGCGTCTCCCTGTCTCTCCCCACATCTCCCGGCGTCTCCCCGTGTCTCTCCACATCTCCCCACATCTCCCAGCGTCTCCCCGTGTCTCTCCACATCTCCCCGAGCCTCACCGCACCTCTCCCGCGTCTCGCCGTGCTGCAGGAGGGGATCTCTACGCCGGTCTCTACTCAGACTTCTTCGGCGAGGACTCGGCCATCTTCCGCACGTCGCCACAGCGCCACGCCCTGCGCACGGAGCACGCCGACCGCCGGCTGCTCGACGGTACGTGGGTCACGCCGGGGGTCACGCCGGGGGTCACGCCAGGGGTCACGCCGGGGGTCATGTCGGGGATCATGTCGGGGGTCATGTCGGGTCATGCCGGGGGTCATGTCGGGTCATGCCAGGGGTCATGCTTGGGGTCATGCCGGGTCACGCAGGGTCACGCGGGGGTCACGCCGGTGTCATTCGCAGCGCGCTGCGAGCTGGCATGCCCCCTCCCTGTGCCAGCCGTGTCCCGGCGGGCACGGTCGACATCGACCGTGCATTTCCGGTCGACTCTCCGACGTTTTTGTCGTGCGATGACTTGGGGACAGCCGCCGCCCCCCACACGCTGCCTGCCCAAGGCGGGAAACCCCCTCCGTGGGGTCGCTACCGGTGCTGATGATGTCACACCATGCCCTCCGCCCCATCACTTCCCGTCCAGCGGCACATTTTTATTTTTTCAATCAAAGCAGACAAATGTAACCCATATTCGGTAGAGCAATCGATTAAGTAAACAATCACACTCGAGGCCTGATCCATTAACTTGTTTATAAGTGACCCATCATTACGATACATGACCCATCGTGACGATACATCACCCATCATTATGATACGTGACCCATCGTTACGATACGTGACCCATCGTTACGCTACGTCACCCATCGTTACGCTACGTGACCCATCGTGATGATACGTGACCCATCGTTACGATATGTAACCCATCGTTACGATACGTGACCCATCATTACGATATGTGACCCATCGTGACGATACATCACCCATCATTATGATACGTGACCCATCGTTACGATACATGACCCATCGTTATGATACGTGACCCATCGTTACGATACGTGACCCATCGTGACGATATGTGACCCATCGCCACTATTTAGTCACCCATAATTTTAGCCTACGAGATACGCTCTGAGCACAACATTAAGCTGGCTCACGACTCTTACACGAGCCTCAGAACTGAGCCACCCGCACACAGAGAGAGCGCTGGCTCAGCTCCCTGGCACCACCATCGCGAACCACACGGAGAGACCCTGAACTGGCTCATCGCTGCCACGGTTTTGTGGCCATCAAAACGAAACTAAACTTAAAACGATTTTGTATTTTACCAGGTAAGGCCCACTGAGCTATATAGCTTATTTTTTTCAGAAGCGACCTGGTCACAAACGATAGCTCAACGAAGTGGCTGATTATCGTCACGTGGAAATGTATTGCAGTAGCCAAATACTAAACGCATGACGTTCATTCTCAATGTGGACGGGAAAACCTGGAGGACCCATAGAAAAATCCACGCGACCACGGCGAGAGAGAGACACGCAAACTCCAAATATACAGCAGCAGCAGGCGTCATGGTCGGGATAGAACACACGAACTCCTGTGCACCGGGCGAGGTAGTCAACATCTCCTAGCCACCGTGATGATGATGAGAGAGAGACACTCAAACTCCAAATATACAGCAGCAGCAGGCGTCAGGGTCGGGATCGAAACCTACGATCGCCTGCATACCAGGCGAGGTAATTAACATCTTGCCACCACGAATTATACAATGGTGGTGGTGGTGGTGGTTGCCGCACTGCAATGTGGCTAAGTGTGGTCTGGCACTTTCCAGGAAGCAGCCGGGGATCGCCGCCCACCCAACCTCCGTCCTGCCACCGAGTGGGCGAGACGGAGGTTGGGTGGGCGAACGATTGAGTGCGGTTGCGGGTGAGCAAAGTCGCCGAGGCTGTCTGTGCTGAAGCGGGCAAAGGAGCACTCGAGGGAGACGGGGTTTGGGCCTCGCTGCCAGACGACTGAGCTGGGCCCATCACCAAAAAGCGACAAGAGCGCAAAAACAAACAAAATTTAGCCCGGCGGTGAAGCGGAGAAAAATCAGCGCGATGAGAAAACAACCTTTGTGTTTTTCCCCCTTCACTACGGGCGGGTGGAGACGCCGTCGGTGATGGATGGGGTTGAGAAAACGGGGGGGGGGCAGGACCCCCTCCCCACCAGCCTAATCACGCGTTAATTGAGGGGGGGTGGTGGCGACGCAGCAGCGCTGGGGGTCACGGGTCGCTCCGGCTCATTAGCGGGCGTGAGAGAGGATGAATAAGTAAGAGCGTGTTTTACTCTGTTTCTGGCAACACAAACAAACTCTGATAACCCTCCCGTGGCGTAGCTGCTCACCCCGAGCTGTGAGTGCTCCGACACGCGCGTTGCCTTCGTGCTGTCCGACCCTTGGCGTCGTACTCTGGTCTCACACCGGGACAGAGACTATGCCATGAAGAAGGCTGTCTCTGGTGTAGACTAATCAGTTTCAAAGTCAATGCCACATTATCAGAGCATGCCAGTCTGTATGTTCAACACAAGCAGCGTGTGTTGTTAATGCATTGCTTGGTTCCTTGCGAGCGGTATCTATTTGTTTTTTGGACGTCTTAACACCTGTTTTATTGCTAGAAAGGGGTAACACCTATTCTTAATTTTCGTACTTTGATACTGGCAAAAAAAAGCTCCCGTGAGAAAAGATGTTGGTGCTTGGTAGAGGGCTGTGTTGACAACAACGACAACAACAATGATGATGATGATGACGTTGCCCTTCATTTGCCCTTTGGAAATGCCACGTGGGGAGGGGGGCAGCCCCCCGTCCCCAAAGCGCGGGGCCCAGGGCAGTCACCCCCCGATTCGCCGTCACACCCTAGGGGGGACGGTTCTGGGTGGGGTAAAGTGTGGGTGCACTGACTTCTTCCAAGCTGTCTGGCCGGCATGGAAGAATAGGCCAAAACTCTACTCTAGAGGGGCCTCTCTAGAGGGGTTCTCTAGACGTATACAAAGACCCATAGACTCGCACAGAGAGCCATAGACTCACATGGACTGAGTTGTGATGAAACCGGCTTCTCAGGTGCGGCGAAGTTGATGCTCTCAGCCAGGCCCCTTAACTCAGCCTGGCAGCACGTTGACGAGCAGCCTCAGCAGGGCACGTGGAGCGTGTGCCCCCCCCCCCCCCCCCCCCCCGTCGATTGTGAATAAACGCGCCGATCGAACCGAAGCTCAGGAGTCGTTCCGTGGCGCCGATCTCGTCAACGAACAGACTCCCCATTGCCTCTCCCCCCTCCCCTGCCCCCCCCCATATTTGGCAGAGAAGACAAAACGAATGTGAAATGGCCGTGAAGGAGGAGGCGGTGGCGGTGGTTTTGTCCGAGCCTCTCTTGGGGCGAGGCTCGGAACTTTGCCAAGGACAGGGGAAGTGGAACTCAATGCAGCGTTACGTCCCATAGGGGGGTAAAGAGGATTTGGCTAACTCACCAACTATACAGTGAGGGAAAAAAGTCTTTGATCCCCTGCTGATTTTGTACGTTTGCCCACTGACAAAGAAATGATCGGTCTATAATTTTAATAGTAGGTTTATTTGAACAGTGAGAGACAGAATAACAACAAAAACATCAAGAAAAACGTATGTCGAAAATGTTATAAATTGATTTGCATTTTAATGAGGGAAATAAGTATTTGACCCCCTCTCAATCAGAAAGATTTCTGGCTCCCAGGTGTCTTTTATACAGGTAACGAGCTGAGATTAGGAGCACACTCTTAAAGGGAGTGCTCCTAATCTCAGCTTGTTACCTGTATAAAAGACACCTGTCCACAGAAGCAATCAATCAGATTCCAAACTCTCCACCATGGCCAAGACCAAAGAGCTCTCCAAGGATGTCAGGGACAAGATTGTAGACCTACACAAGGCTGGAATGGGCTACAAGACCATTGCCAAGCAGCTTGGTGAGAAGGTGACAACAGTTGGTGCGATTATTCGCAAATGGAATAAACACAAAAGAACTGTCAATCTCCCTCGGCCTGGGGTTCCATGCAAGATCTCACCTCGTGGAGTTGAAATGATCATGAGAACGGTGAGGAATCAGCCCAGAACTACACGGGAGAATCTTGTCAATGATTTCAAGGCAGCTGGGACCATAGTCACCCAGAAAACAATTGGTAACACACTACGCAGTGAAGGACTGAAATCCTGCAGCGCCCGCAAGGTCCCCCTACTCAAGAAAGTACATATACATGCCCGTCTGAAGTTTGCCAATGAACATCTGAATGATTCAGAGGACAACTGGGTGAAAGTATTGTGGTCAGATGAGACCAAAATGGAGCTCTTTGGCATCAACTTAACTCACCGTGTTTGGAGGAGGAGGAATGCTGCCTATGACCCCAAGAACACCATTCCCACCGTCGAACATGGAGGTGGAAACATTATGCTTTGAGGGTGTTTTTCTGCTAAGGGGACAGGACAATTTCACCGCTTCAAAGGGATGATGCACGGGGCCATGTACCGTCAAATCTTGGGTGAGAACCTCCTTCCCTCAGACAGGGCATTGAAAATGGGTCATGGATGGGTATTCCAGCATGACAATGACCCAAAACACACGGCCAAGGCAACAAAGGAGTAGCTCAAGAAGAAGCACATTAAGGTCCTGGAGTGGCCTAGCCAGTCTCCAGACCTTAATCTGTGGAGGGAGCTGAAGGTTCGAGTTGCCAAACGTCAGTCTCGAAACCTTAATGACTTGGAGAAGATCTGCAAAGAGGAGTGGGACAAAATCCCTCCTGAGATGTGTGCAAACGTGGTGGCCAACTACAAGAAACGTCTGACCTCTGTGAATGCCAACAAGGGTTTTGCCACCAAGTACTAAGTCATGTTTTGCAGAGGGGTCAAATGCTTATTTCCCTTATTAAAATACCAATCAATTTATAACATTTTTGACATGCGTTTTTCTGGATTTTTGTTGTTGTTATTCTGTCTCTCACTGTTCAAATAAACCTACCATTAAAATTATAGACTGATCATTTCTTTGTCAGTGGGCAAACGTACAAAATCAGCAGGGGATCAAATAGTTGTTTCCCTCACTGTACATCTCGACTTAAAGCTTTCGTGGCTCCAGGCATTCATATTCTTTAGGTCTTTCGGTAAAGTCGCATAGACAAGTTGAAAGAAAACAACAAAAAGCCACGACGTTTCGATCACAACACGAGCGATC